AAAAAAAAAGATCCTGCTCCTTTTTGGAGCGGTGAGGACCAAGGCCAACCGAAGGCGGCAGCATCTCTCTCCCCATGATGTTACGTGGAGAATGCTCCACTGAAGTGCTCCTCTCAGCAGCTGGTCCAACTGCATGGCTCTCCCCAAGTCCAGCTCTCTCTTCTTCTTTTGAGCTGTGCCCTAGAAGCAAAAGAACGCCCTGGAAGCTTTGCTGTGCCCAAGGGACGAATGTTGCTTCTACTTCAAGGCGGGAGCACGTCCGCAGCCATACTCCGAACACTTTCCACTCCAGAGGCTCATCTTCTGAAGCTATTTCTGCACGTGTTCCCTGGCTAGTCACAAGGCTTCCGAAGGTGGCTAATTTTTCGGATATTGTCCTCCGATTCCTTTTTCCTAGGCTTAGTGTGAAAGCTCTGCGGAAATCTATCCCCCTGGGTGAGCCTGCTGGTGTGCAAGATGCCAATGGCCCCGCTTCCAGCACAGCAACAACCTGCATGCCACCACATGAGGGCGAACTAGCAGACGAGCGGTGTGTTCTGACTCCTGAGGACCTTACACGACAGAGTAGAAAGGTCCCAGAGGGATTCCGGGGCTATCATCCTTACAGAAGCAGATGGCCACATCTGGCTTCTTAGAACTGGAGGTTTAAATAGTCAACATTTCAGTGAGCAGCCAAGCTTTTAAGCACAAAGATACCAAGGCTCCTTCCCTAAAGACGCCAGCCATGGAAACCCTTTGGGCCGGTTCTACTCTGTCCTGTAGCGTCAATATGAGTCAGAAGCGACCCAACTACATACAACAACAATAAGAACCCACTCAAGTATCTTGGAAGGCAGGTCAGGCAGCCTGCTTCTGCAGCGGCACAGCTTGGAACCTCTCAGAAAGCAATTCTACTCTGCACACACGAAGTCACCGTGAGTCAGAATCAACTCAACAGCAACTAACGGCACTGCCTTCACCCTTAGAGTCCCTGGACGGTGCACATCATGAAGGAACTTGGCTGCTAACCTAAAGGTTGGAGGTTCAAATCCTCCCAGGTTATCTAGGAAGAAAGGTCTGGCAGTCTACTGCTGAAAAAAATCCAACCACTGAAACCCCTATGGAACCAGGTTTTACTCTGGCACACACGAGTCTCTGTGAATCAGAACTGACCTGAAGGCAATGGGGTCTAGTACAGGTACTAATATGTACCTAGCACCCCCTAAGGACTTTACACTCAATGCCTAATTGAGTGGACTCACCAGCTATGGGACTTTGGGTTAAGCAATCAGAAGTTTGGGGTTTTGCCATCCTCATTTCAGAGATGAGAAAATTGAGGCTCAGGGAGATCCAGCAACCTGCCAGATACCACGGTCGTAGGAATGAATGGAACAGGAATGGTGCAAATGCCAGGACAGAGTTCAGATCTGTGTCCCACACTTCTTACAGGAATTAGTCGGTTCCCAGGCAATGAAACTCTAAAGCCAGCCCCAGCTGCCAGAAACTCAACCGCAGAGAGCTGGCTCACAGCCCCCTCGCTGGCTTCTCTCCTCTCAGCCCCACCCTACCACCCCCATCTCCCTCCCTGGCCCAGGGGCCCTGCGTCTTCCCCAAACCTGCTCTGCTACAATTCCTTCCAGGTTCCCTCATCTGTAAAATGGGGATAATGATGGTGCCTGCATCTGAGGGGTGCTGTGAGGATCAGAGGAGAAGCTCGAGCCAGAGTGCTTGGAACCTAGCACAAAGTAGACTTTTAATAAACATTAAAACTCATCCTCACTTCCATCATTTCAGGAGCATGTCCTAGGTCCTGTGAAATGATGAAATAAATAAATCAATAAGTGGTGGTATTCTTCTTATTGGATGGGTGAAGAATCTGAGGTTAAGAAGGCGGAGCAGCTGCCAGTTGGGCAGCTAGGAAGCAGAGGGCAGAGACCTTCCACTTTCTTACTTCGGCTCTCACTACCCTCCACCACTCTCTACTTGGAAGATGAGTGGATCATATCAACATTTAACACCCACCTGCTGCCTGCCGACCCAGACCCTAGAGCGCAGGGGTCCTCAAACCCTTTAAACAAGGAGCCAGTTCACTGTCCCTCAGACTCGTTGGAGGGCCAGACTATAGTTTTAAAAAAAACTATGAACAAATTCCTATGCACACTGCACAAATCTTATTTTGAAGTAAAAAATCAAACAGGGCAAAAACACCCGGCGGGCCGGATAAATGTCCTTGGCAGGCCGTGTGGACACCTGCCCTAGAGGCTGAGGGGCATCCAAGACGGACACATCCTGGATCCTTCAGTGTGCTTGGAACCTAACTGGTCCTTGAGGCAGGAAAAGAGAGCTTTGGAACGGGAGGCAGGAGAAGAAGGTGCACACAAAGCCAGATGCTCTCTGACTGAGAGAAGAAGGCAGGCAGAAATGCCTTCCAGGAGAAGGTCGGGGGATGCCGGTCCTTAGAGATCAGTGGAATACGCAGCCAGCCCGGCCGAGAAGGGGTCTGTGGAGGGGAGGTTAAGGCTAACAGCTGCCAGTGCTCAGGTTCCTTATGAGCTAGGCTCTGTGCTGAGTTTTTCATGCTTTCTCTCTGAGATTTCCCCACAATCCAAAGAAGTGGGTGCAAGAGGAAGGAGAAAACCGAGGCCCCGAGAGCTAAGAAAACTAGCATGTCATCATGCAGCTAGTACATGGCAGGGCCATGTTTGCACTGATACAGCACCAAGGCTTTTTGCACTGATACAGCACCATCAAGCCTCACGGCTATGGTGCCCTCACCCACTGACCAACTGTTAAGCTGGAGAAGGACCCCGCAAGGCCTTGAACTCCAGGCCCAGGCTTGTCTGAAAACCACAGGGCACCAGGCAAGAATCAGCTGACTTGGACTCTCACGTTGCAGAGCCTCAGCACGAGCGAGGTCGGCTCTGGTGACAGAGGGGCTGTTTGGGAGAAATCGGGAGAGGTTCAAATATTCACTAAGCCTTGGGCCCTGGGAAACAAGACAGGGCTGTGCACAAGGGGTAGGGCACAGCTAGGCTGGGTGGGGAGGAACCTCTTAAGAGAACAAAGGCTCTGGAGCCAAGCTGTCCCAGATTCAAATCAGCTCTGCAAATCAGCACATTTTGCTGTGTGACTTTGGGCAAGTTACCCAGCCTCTCAGATTCTTGATGGTTAGGAAGGTGATCATCAGTCCCCTTCCCTGGCTTGCTGGATTAAATTACTTACTTGTACAGCATGTCAGCAATCGTGAGGATGGTGCAGGACCCAGCGTGCAGTGCTTGGTTCTGCTGTACACAGGGTCCTTACGAGTCAAAACCGACTCCACGCACCACAATAACATTCATATAGGATCTACTAGTGGTTGGCACAACTGCAGGCGTTCTAGATGGTAGTTTCCACCTATGAAGAGGTAAGTGAGACTCCAACGCTCTCTGTGCCAAGAAAAAGAACCGGGTCTTGGCTTTCATTTAAGTGGGAAGATGGGCACAATTGCGTGAGGTACTAGCTACATTAGAACACAAACTAACAAAAGGTCTCCTGGCTTAAGGAGTGCCTTAAGGAGAGCCAATGTTAAGTTCACACTCCACACCAAAACGCTTCCTTCCATCCCCAAGCTCAGTGATACAGGAGGCGGGCCCTTTAAGCAGCCAGGCTCGTGGCGCAAGCGCTGCCGCGAGGACAGGTCCTTTCCGGGAGGTGGAGCCTGCTCTTGTTGCAGCGACCAATCGAAACGCAGCATTTTCCGCGGGAGATCCAAATTTCGCGGCACGCAGTTTGGCGCTAAAAAAAAAAAAAAAAGGAGAAGAAAAAGAGGCAGAGAAGGGCTGGGGACTAGAGGGCGAGCCGGGAGAGAGTCGGTGACATCGCTCCCCCTAACCCTATCCGAGCGCATCGCGTCTCCGCCGAACTGCGACCACCCCAAAGTCCCCTCCCCGGAACGGGCCGTCCCCCGGGCGCCCAGGCTTCGGGGGCGCAGGGCCGTCCCGGGTCGCGGCCGCCCTCGGGGCGGGGCAGCCCCTGCCAGCGCTGCCGCCGCCCGGCGATCTCCAAGCGGCGATCTCCAAGCGCAGCTTGGCTCGGCCGCGGGCCAGGAGGGGAGGGTCCGGCCTTGCCCCGCAGGCGTCTATTGGCGGCCTCCCCCCGGCCTCCGCGCCATGCCCCGGGCTGTGTAAGCCGCGGCGGGCTCGGGAGCCCGCAGGTGCCCACGGGCGCTGTAGGCTGTAGTGGGGAGGGGGCGTTGCACTCGCCATGCTGCGAGGGCCCCGGGCCCTGGCTCCGGCCACCGGGCCGACCCCAAAGGGGCTGCCGGTGATGAGTCCTAGCGAGCTGTGGCCGCCAGGCCTTGGCAGCCCCCAGCTCTGCTCAGCCGCCACCACCTACTATACTTCGCTATACCAGCAGACGGTGCCCCCCGCCACGGCACCCGGCACCTGCCTCGACGCCACCCCCCATGGACCAGAGGGCCAAGCAGTGAGATGTGTGCCCGCAGGCCGTCTGCCGGTAATGCTGGGGACCCCCACCCCTTCATCCAATGAAGAAGGAGGGAGGGGCTCTTGGGACCCAGATTTTGGGGAGGGGGAAGATTGGCTTTCAAGAATCCAGAAGCACCCACTGCTCCCAGTATTCAAGGAGAAGACACCCCTTTATTTGGGGGCTATGGGTGGCATAACCTCTTCCACTGGAGTGGAGTGGAAAGAGCACTGGCACTGGGAGTTTGGTGAATGGGCTCACACCCCCTAGATCACTGTGTAACTTTGGGGAAGTCTACAGGGCCATTCATTCATTCATTCATTCATTTTATTCATTGTCTAGCCCAGAAATCAGAACTGGGCACCTGCTATTGTCCAGGCATAGGGCTTGGCCTGAAGACACTGGGGGTCCCAACTCTAAACAGGAGGGTAGATAGGTCTCATGAGTCCAGCCTGTCTTGGGCAGGTTCCAAATTGTCCATTCAGCCAATTCTTTCCCCAGGCTCTGCCCGTGGTCCTAACCCCAGGCCCAGTCTGCCCTCCCAGACTGCCAGTAGCAGGTGCAAAACCCCCAGGGAGGGGGGGAGAGTAGCCCCCTGGGGTTCCTGTTGAGATTGGCCATTCCCTCCTCCAGCCCCAGGCCTGTTGCTAGGGAGGCCTAAAGCATGGTGGCACCAGGCTGCCTGCTGACCTGGGCATGGGCGTGTTTTGTGGGAGTGGAATTCCTGGAGCCCATGGGAATTGAAACAAGTACAGCGCGGGGGAGGGGTGGGAAAAGCCCTGCGGAGTGGGTGGCGGTTGGTTAGCCTGGTTTCTGGTCTCGACTGTGCTACTTACTACCTTGTGGCCTTAGGTGAGTCCAGGCTCAGCCTCAGCCTCTGTTTCCTCCTCTTGAAAATGGGTGCCCTACCAACGCCACGTCCTGGCTTTAGAGGCAGGCTGAGGAGGGGAGCTGGGAGTGTTTACAGGTGATCTGTGCAGCCTTGCACGTGGTGAGTTAGTTCAGGTACAGGGAGAAGGCCCCCCCTCTTACTCCAAAGGCTTTTGGTCACAGCTGTATCCACCAGCAGGCAGAGCCCCCATTCAGCCATCAGAATCATGCTTCACCGGCACCCAGAGTCCCTTCCTGCACGCTATTTCCCCACAAAGGGAGGAGACAGGGGTAGGTGTTATTATCCCCATCCTACGGGTCAGGCAAAGGAGAACTGGGACTCTTGGGACTCCCCTGCTGTCAGCATTGCATGGCTGAATCCCCTTTGGTACCCTGTGAGGTAGATGGTGTTAGCAGCAACTTGTTATAGGAGGAAACAGGTTCAGAGAAAGCATGTGACCTGCCCAAGGCCTCACAGGGGGACAGTGTAGAGTAGGGACCAGGCCTGAGGTCTCTTGACCCACCAGGCAGGTGATTGGCAGTCTCTTCTCTAGGCCACCCTTATGTAAGCCTTAGGCTGTCCACCCTGGCTGGGCCTCCCACTACCCGCCCTAGGGAAGGGGCTCAGTGGTGGGGGCCCTCTCTGGCCAGCTGCTTTCTGACACCCAAGTGGAGTTTCAGGAACAGCTGTGGTTTTGAACCGCTTCCCTCCCCAAGGAGCTCAGTGCATCTGTCTGCACTGTCCCTCCCACAGGGACTCGGAGACCTCAGCAAGCATGGCTCTGTCACCCAGTGCTTGAGTCTGCCAGCCACTGCTTGTCACTCTTCACATTCCTTCTCTTCAAGATGCTTGGGAAGAGGCATCTTGCAGATGAAGAAACTGAGCAGGGAAATGAAGTCACTTGCCCAAGTCACAGACTAAGAAGGGGTGAGCCGCCTTGTATCAGACCACCCTAAAGGTGTGGCCCCTGGAGCCTGAGCCCCTCTGCCAGGCCCAGAACCCTGCTTCTTAGCCCTGTGGGCAGTCCTGGGGCCCCTGCTTACTCATTTGACAAGGGTGTGACTTGGGGCTGTGCCGAACCCAACCCTGGGTGTGGCTGCTGGCTTTGTGGCCAGACTGCAAAGTGCAGGGTGAGCAGGATTTGCCACTGCCAGGCAAATCGATTTTGACTCCTAGGGAGCCAAAGGGCTGAGTAGAACTGCCCCAGCAGGGTTTCCGAGGCTGTCATCTTGTGGGGAGCAGACATCTTTCTCCTACGGAGTGGCTGGTGGGCTCACACCACCAACCTTGTTGTTAGCCGGCCAGTGCTTCACCACTGTACCTCCACGGGAGAGTGCCGCTGTTCAAAGGGACGTCTGGCAACAGCCACCGAGTTCAATGGCGTAGTGGACAGTGAGACCCCGGGTCTCCTTGCTCCCCATCTAGTGCGGAGCCAGGGGAGAAGCTCTGTTGCGTGCCCACTCTGGAGGCTAGGCACATGGCATTGTTCAGTGTTGTCCCTGCGGCACCCTGTCCCGACCGGGTGATCCTGCGTACCAGGGTTCTTTCCTTCCTATGTTTCTACCTATTGCAAATTTCCTCTGAGAACCAAGAAAGAAAACAGACACTTTAACCAACCATCCTATCAGGCAGGTCAGATGAAGAGATGCAGGTTCAGAGAGGCCAGGCAGCCTGTCCCAGGCTGCCCAGCTATGCAGTGGCAGCAGGCTTCTGGAGGGGACGAGGCTCCTGACCCCTTATACTTGCCTGTCTCTACCATCTCACTCTGACTTCGGGGAGACCTGGCTCCCCTCCCCGTGTGACCTTGGGCAAGTCACTTCCTTTCTTCCAGCCCCAGTTTCCTCACCTTGCTGTGGCGTGTTTGAGGAAGAAGAACCTTTAGTCTTCTCCCTGCGGCTTGGCAAGGTGGGGTAGAGTCCTCCCCAGGCCTGTAAGACACAGCCCCAGGGGCTGCCGTAGAGGGTCCAGGTCAGACCTGGAGGCCTTGGGGGCTGGCCCAGGCCTCATGCTCTTTTCAACTCACCCTGAACCTTCTCCTCTGGGTGCCCGGGCATCTGTGACTCAGCTCTCCTGTGTGCGCACAAAGGGCAAAGGGCTTCCGGGCTTCTCTGCATGGACCCCTCCGTGTGCAGTGACAAATTAACCCCATTTTACAGATGGGGCTCCAGAGGCCAGCCGACTTTTCCAGCCCACCCAACTAAGAAAGTTGTTATTGGTAGGTGTCATTGAGTTCATTCCAACTCATAGTGACCCTGCGATAACGGAAGAAAACACGACCTGGTCCCTTGTACCCTCACAATGAGGTTTGAGCCCACTGTTGCCGCCACTATGTCAGTCCGTCTCCTGGAGGGCCTTTTTTGCTGACCCTCTACCAAGCATGATGTCCCCTCCCAGGGGCAGGGCTCCTGATCACATGGCCAAAGTACGTGCGACTAAGTCTTGCCGTCCTTGCTTCTAAGGAGCATTCTGGCAGTACTTCTTCCAGGACAGATTTGTGTGTTCTGGAAGTCCACCTTCGTCTCAGAGAGACGTCCCTGATCTTGAACACTTTCAGGAGGTCTGGTGCAGCAGATCTGCCCTACGCGCCACTTGATTTCTCGATGACCGCTTCCGTGAGCACTGATTGTGATTTCATCCAAGCAAGAGGAAAGGGAATGTGGCTTGGTCTCACTCCAAAGCCTGTCCACAAGCAGCCTCCCCTTGGCCCTCCCCAGGATATGGGCTTACCCTGTGCCCAAGGGCCAACTTCCCTAGGCAGTGCCCACAGGGGTCAGAGAGGTGTCCTTGTGTGTGTGTGTGGGCACTCTGCTGCAGAGAGGTGCAGGATAAGGGGGAGACGGAGCTTGAGAAGGGAGAGAGCTTGTGTGCAAATATACATGAAAGAAGTGATGGGGACAGGTGCTCATGGCCAGGCCTTGATTGAAATTCCAGCAAATTATGGGAAATATGTGTGGAAAGGAGCTGGGGCAGCCTGGCAGGTGGCTTTGGAATTAAACAGACCTGGGTCCAACACCCTGGTTTTGCTTTCTTTCTGCGTGACCTTGGCTTTGTGGCTTACGCGCTCTAAATCTCCACTTCTCGTTTGCCAAGAGCCATGACCAATTCTGGTGCTACAGAACTGCTGTGAATGCGTGCGGGCTTTAGAGTCCTCTCTTCCCCCCACACCTTCTACCCCGTTCCCAGCTCGGGAGGGCCGGGGGGACTGGCTGCCCCACCTCTGCCCTCTGTCCTTGGTGCTTCTTCTGAGGGATGGGACCAAGGAGCCCAAGATGAACAACCTTAATCAGGACCGATGGCATCTGTGGAGCTCTTTGAGCCTCGGTTACATCAGCTCTAAACCGGGAGCGGTGTGGTGATGTGGGGAAAGTGATGGGTGCTGGGATTTGGCGTGGGGCACATGGAAGGTCCTGGAGAAGGATTGGGCAGTAAGTCACCCTCTCTGGAACCTGGGATCCCACCACCTGGGAGGGTCGTGGTGGCAGTGGGATAGGCGAGGTAGAGGAGGAAACCCTGCCCGTCATGTGTGAGCCCATGATTGCAGCCGCAGCCAGCCCATCTCATTAAGGGGGCTGCCTGTGGGAGAGCAGATCAGGACTCTTCAGGGTGTGACAGGGAGGTGTTTCAATCATGTCCTGGTCTGAGAGGAATCTTATGTCCAGGCTCCTTAGGCCAAAGAGTGGGGTTCTTCTGTTTAACCCAGGGAGACTTCCTGGAAGAGGCAGGCCTGGGGGCAAGAGAGGAACTGCCACTGCCCTAGCCACCTGTCAGCCCAGCTGTGCACAGCAGCAGTTAGAAGTTTCAGCCTGGCCTAGCATGACCCCACTACCCAAGGTTAAAACAAGCTGTGTATCTTCACTGCAGGAGGAGCCTAGGTGTGCCTGGGTGACTGGGGAGCGGCCCAGGAAGTGGGCTCAGTGTTCCCCACAAGGGTGGGTCCAGAAGAAGCCAAGATTGGGTTCTAGGCAAGGGATGCTGAATTCCCTGAGCGCCCCCTCTGCCTCCCCCCCCAATCCTCACAACCACCTGGAGGTGGGTCTTCCCCACCCCATTTTGCAGAGGAGGAAATGGAGGCTTGTAGATGTTGAGCATTTGCCCAAGTCACACCTAGGTTTCTGAAGGAGCCGGGAGGTTCAAGGCCAGGGCTCTGACCTATGCCCCAGTGCCCCATCCCTGGCCCTGCCCAGCCCTCACTGGGAGAGGCCGCTTCCGGGCCAGTGCAGCTTCAGGGCCTAACTGGGGCCCGGTGGCAGTGGGTGGAGAGCAGCAGATGGGTCTGTGGTTTGATTTCCCCAGCAGGTGTTTCCCAAGCTTGGCAGGAGGGGGCGGGGGGCTCAGCTGCTGGTCCTTAAGACAGGAGAAGGCGTCATTGTCTGCCCCTCAAGGCAAAGAAAGAAAGGCCGAGGGAGTCTATTCAGGAGACTGCTGGAGCCCCGACTCGGGGGAGATGTTTGCACTGCTTCCCTATGTGGGCACCTCCCTGGGGCCTGGCACAGAGCCAGGAAGTCCCCTGGGCATCCGCCCAGGCCCCACCCTGATAAGAGCCAGCTGTGGGACTGTGATGGGCACCGGGCCTGGCGGGGCCAGCTGGGGCCAGCTGCTTCTGCAGGGGGCCTCTCCCTAGCCTGATGTGGTTTAGGCCCCACCCACTCCTTCCTCCCTACCCTCCTCCTGGATGGGCCCAGAGCGGGGCTGTGAGGAGGCTGCCGGAGAAAGCCCCAGGCTTCGGGTGGGTCTGGAGTGCCTCAATTTCTGAGGAAGGGGCGTGGGGGTGGCTCTCTGAAAACAGCATTTCCTCCCCCTGAAAGGTCACTTCTTGGGTCATGGGTACTTCCAGGTGTAGTTTCCTTTCCCTGGGGCTGGTGGCCAATGGAAGCACAGGTGGTGGCTGCTGGTGGCCCTGAGCAGGCGAATGGAGAACGGAGGCCCCAGTCTCACCCTCTGCCTCCCTCTCTCTCCCCAAGGCCAAGAGGAAGCTGGATCTGGAGGGGATCGGGCGGCCTGCAGTCCCTGAATTCCGGACCCCTAAGGGGAAGTGCATCCGAGTGGACGGCCTCCCCAGCCCTAAAAGTAAGCAGGACAGGCTCAGGAGACCAGAGGTGGGGTGGGGCGGGGCGGGGCCAGGGCAGTAACCCTGCCCAAACCATCAGAAGTAATAAGTGTATCACACTTTCCGGTTTGCAAAACAGCTTCCTTTGCATTCTCTCGCTTGGTCTGGCCAGGGAGTCCGATAATCCCCCTTTTGCTGATGAGGCAACTGGAGGCTCAGAGAGCTTCAGTGACATGCCCAAGGTCACCGAGCTAGTGCACAGAATCAGGACTAGAACCCGGACATGTAAGTCTTGCCTTATTTCTCCCATACCATACCATCACTCTGCTAATCTAATCATGAAGAGCCACATTTTCTCTAGGGGTTACTATTTATAAAAGGGGCCCTGGTGGGGCCATGCTGCAGCGCTCAGCTGCCAAGCCGAAAGTTGGCAGTTTGAATCCACCAGCATCTCCCAGGGAGAAAAGACCTGGGAGACCCCTTGGGCAGCGCTAGCCGGTGCCATAGGGCCGCTTGGAGTTGGAATTGACAAGCACACAATAGTCACTACACAAAGGCTGACCAACTCCAAAAGAGAATATCTAGCTTCAAGGAGAACAGGACCTTACCTGGGGGTCTTTGTCCCACGTGTAGACAGAGAGCTAAATAAGTGAAACTTGGATTACGCCAGCCCACACCACCTCAGAGGTTTCTAGTGCCTTGCTCAGTTGGAGGGAATTTCTGCCTCTTGCTATGTTAGCGTTCTGGTCAGAGTAGGAGGCTACGGGCAGTTGTGTTCTAGAGGAAGGCTAGTTTTTTGGGGGGTGGGGTGTCACAGACTGAAGGTATGGGGTTAGGTGGGAAGTATGAGGGTTGGGGATTTGGGGGGTCAAGGTCAGGTGTGTTCCCATCTGGTCAGTCACCTCTTTGCCAGGAACTTTTCTTGCCTCCTGAAAACTGAGGCAGGAATGAGAAGCAAGTTTTTCCCCCTGCCAATTGAGTGTAGTCTGTTCCGAGATGGTCCTGGTGGCTCTGCAGGCTCAGTGTTGGACTGCTAACTGCAAGATCAGCTGTTCAAATCCACCAGCTGCTCCGTGGGAGAGCATGGAAAGATGGACACCCTGGAAACCCCTGGGGGGGGGGGTCGCTGTGAGCGCATCCACTCAATGGCGGTGGATCGGAGGGCTTTGGCTCAGAGGTGTGTCCTGAAGGATCCTAAGCCTCCCTGGGGTTGTGAAAAAGAGTTCGCTGATCAGCTGCTGGTGCCTGTCATGGGTGTAAGATGTGACAAAGCAGCCAGTGTGCCGGATCTTTGCCATCTCTGTGACAGAGGGTTCTAGAGGGCCCTCCCAGAGGAATCTGAAACTCTCAGACAACTCGGTTTCACAAGTAGCTGAGCCACTCACGGGCTGTATGACTCGCAAGTCACTTGGTTGCAAAAGTCCTCTGTGGTCTAAGACACGGTAGCTGGGATGCGGTCTTGTGACACTGGCCTCATTGAGAAAGGACCCTTTTTCATGAACCTGACTCATTGGATGGTAGGGGTCTAATTCCTCTCGGATAATCAAGGGAGGGGGCACTTGCAGGGGGGAAAAGCAAGTGTGTGTCTATAAAAATCTTCTTGAAGTCAGACTTGTCAATCCTTCCCCCAAATTCCAAGCTCCCGACATATATCTGGCAGGATAGAGCAGACTGCCTGGATTTCAGCCAGTTCCTAGGGGAGTGAGCTGAGCAAGCTCTCTTATCTCTCTCTGCCTCCGTATTCTCATCTATGAAGTGGGGAGTCTAACTTTGAGGATTAAGCTAAAGATGTAGTATGTTTACATGGAAGCTCTTAGAAGAGTACCCTGCACAAGGTAAGCAGCTTTTTGGGTTGTCTAGATATTTGTTTTTTCCCCCCAGTTTGTGTTGTTACTTGGAGTTCACCCCTATGAGAGCAGCGCCCCCCAACCCCAGCGAGCGTGCGCGCGCGC